TTCAACATTATTTTTGACACCAAAGGTTAGCGGGAATTTTCGTATATTTTGTAATCTAATATATTTAAATAATTTTGTATCTAATGTAATAATATAATATAATATAATTACATAATGTAATTAATTATCTCCGGAGTGCGATCTATTCGACTTGCTACTCGTTTACCATTCAACATTGTTCAAAACAATCTTCTTCGATCAAAATAACCACCTCTATAATTGCTAATATGCACGTCGTACGTGATGGAAAACGATGAGGAAAACCACCGAATAGCTCTACGAAGCGAAACACGTTTCGAAATGTTTATTAATAAGTACTTGGCTCGATGCCGAGAGTTAGGATGAGCGAAGGAGCTCTGTTGTTATGCTTTGCTGCCTTTGCACGACCATCACTATCTGTAATGAGATGTTTACATCATAATATAGTTATGCAATCAATAATGATATCGTATAAGATTTCCGTACATTTCGTAAATATATTTTGCAGTTTAAACATTAAAATATTAACATCCTGTAAAATGGCCGAAAATCGCATAGGTTTTTAACGTCGTGCGAACAAAATCCCGTTTATTTTTTGATCTTTTTGCAGGTGGATTATTCCGCGTGCAAACTAAAAGTCTCGTACCTAATTTACGACATCAACCAGTTAAAATAATGATATTTTTGGTGTTGTAATGCATATTAATGACGATGCTGGGTAAACAAAAAAAAAAAAAATATATAAATAGCTATGGTAGTATACGTGTGATAAATTGATAGTTTAACTAATTTATGGCGGGTTTTTTTTTTTTCCAGAGAAATACTTTTATACAAACATATTTATTTAAACTAAAATTGATAATTAAGTGCACACTAAGTATAGACGACGGATATATGATTAAAATAAATTGTAATTCAACCTTTATCTTGTAATTTTGTTAGACTATTAGTTATTACCTGGTAATAAGAAGTCAGGTACACCGATAGTTAAAGACCTTCTTATTTTCAGTAGCATATCCAGGGTATGGGTGGGTTTTTATACCTCCACGTCGTTTGTGTTTTTAGCTATAAGAAAGATGAAATACCTCTTAATGTCATTAGGTCCCTAAACTCTCCCCGTTGAAACGTCTTGGCTACGACACTGCTGATAATTAACCTTTCGTAGGCCACCCTAAACAAGTAACTGTGATTCATTTACCACACCCTCGTATACACGGTGTTGATATTTAAAATATTTTCCTTCGAGTACAATTATTATAACATTTTATATGAACACAAGCCGATGAACATAATAAACACAATAATAATAATAATAACAATAACAATAGCGCGACTTTCACTTATCCGCGTATTGTGTATTGTTATACAATCGTATAAATAAAACTCGCGCGTATACCTACGACCGAAACTAACAATAATATTATTATACCGACGTTTTGAAATAAAATATTCAGCTACGTGCCCTACCTTCTCGTATTTATATATAATATTATATACATATACAACATATATTTATTCAACAATGAAAATTAAACGGCGAACGGGATTTGTTTGAATATAAAGTTTGCGAACCACGGGAATAACACTGGAGCGTGGTTTTATCCCCTCCGACCCTGTCCCCGTCACCCCTCAATCCATCTGTCGCTGACGACTAGAAAATTACGGTTAATCTCTAACTACTATTTTCGACAGCGAAAATACCACCGAGAGAATTTATACAATGAGTAATTAACATGCCACCGAACTGTGCAGTGTATCCCCTGCCGGTAAATACCTACTGCGCTGTAGCGAGTTTGTGTATTAGGAACTGTATAGTATAACAACGTTATGTACTTAAACATTGTAATCGTTTTACGGCAAAAATAATACGGCAGTCGAATTATAATATTCGCGGTCAGTGGAAACGGCCAAAACCGTTTGGGGAGTTTTCGGCACGAATGTTGCGGGGTACAAGGGGTAAAAATGAGAAATGTTTGAATAATATAATATTATACTGTAATCGCCATCGTCGTGGTACGAACCTCGTCCCCGTGTAATAATCGCTTTTCCTGAATCCGTAAAAGGAAAAAAAGAAAAAAAAGAAGATTGTCACAATCTCAAAACAAAAATCGGCTACCGGCATCCTGATAATGTTTCAAGCGCGGCAGTGTCCCGAAATACGTGTAAGCAGAAAAACCTTGTTGACGAAAATGGAAAACTACGTGTCGGGCGGGTAGTCCCGCGGTTCTGTATGTCGGCGTAACTGATCATCGGGTTTTCGTTATCTTCGGGAAAAGTGTCCGAACCTCGTATTATAATAATATACAACGCGCCCAGTAGACGAGTGTAAAATTATTCAACACAGAACTCGTATTCAAATTCGACCCTCGTGTCTGTGCGCGCTCATAGGTATATCTGTATGAGGCACGTAAAGTTTTCTTACATTTCCAATCCGATTGTTTTTTTTTTTTTTTTTCTGTAGACAAAAGGCTTGCACGATAATAATATTATTCTCGAATAGTCGTATATTGTAGATAGGTATACTATACATAGCAGCAGCAGCAGCGCGTATACTGTCAAACAAGAGAAATTTGAAGTTTGAATACATATTATATATATATCTGCAACACACACGTACGTACGCGTTTTTTTTTTCTTCGCAATGCGAAAAGTAAAAAAGACAATACCTACCTCGATATTGACACAAGACTTTGTGTATTTTTATTTCGAAATACCTTTGGCACACTGTACAATATATATGTATACACACACACATACGCACGCACGCACACATACTATTGCCTACAATAAATAGCAGGTTTTTTCGTACTCCTCCGGCCACCACCCCACGGCCCACCGGCCGCGTCGCTATTCCAATATATTGTTATTATTCTAGTCACGTTTTCGGAGGGAAGTCACTTTAGCTTCTCCACCTATACTGTACGCGCGTTGGCTTTTCTCACTACTCCCTCTCTCCCCCCCCCCCCCCCCCCTCCGCCCATTTCTTTTCTCTCCCCGAGAATATTGTTTTTAGCGTCACTCCTCTCTTTACGCGCGTAAAAACCAATAACTATACTTATATAAAAAAAAAAAAAAAAAAATTAACTGCCAAACATCAGTCAACTCCGATGGATACCTATAATATCGACTGTACACTGTTTAAGTTGCATTGTTTACCGCAGCGTAGATAATATATTATACCGCGGTTCCGTCTGTTTTCCCGCGCGCGCAAGCGTTTTCTCCGATCATCCGAACGCGTCTCTGTATGCGTACAATTTCGGAATTCGCTGTTTACACGGTTACACCCGCATACTGATTCAAAATGCCCGTACGTAGACAAGAGTGCGATTTCAATTGTTACATAATATTCCAGCACGCTGCCATAATAAATAACAATACTGCCGTAGTTGTCTACGTGTTTGGATTCTGACGAGTGTACGAGCATGGGCGCCGGGTTTTGAAAATGTCAATGGGAGCCGGACTTACTACTTTTTAGCCTTAACTTTTGCCCTTCAAAATAATTTAAATATGCGGTCACAGTGTAAATAGACGCAGGAAGGGGACTACTTATGTCCAAATGTTTAACTGTCTCTGCTTAAAATTTGTTTTGCAATAAACAATTACATGACAGGGGGGCGTTCGACGTTTTTCATTGATAACGGTTCTCCCTTAGATTTTTTGTCAATTAAAGTCCTAGTTTAAACTAGTTCAATTATGTAAAATATGATAAAATAAGTACTACCGATAATATAACACGAAATAAATTAAAAATAATCATTTACTTTTTTTTTTATTTTAATAATGTCACATTAATTTAAAGAAAATGGATTCTGTTTAACTTTACTCATTATAATTTCATTATTAACAATGTGCTCGTATTTTAGATATATTATTCCGTAAACACGGTTTGGGAAACTCAATATTTTCAACGGGGGCTGCGGCCCCCGTGCACCCATGCAGTCGGCACCTACGTGTACGAATCTTATAATTAAACGTGTTTTTTGTTCTCAACAACTAATCGTTTGATAAGTATATTATCAAGAATGCTCGGACGTTTTAACGCCGTACCTTAAAAGATGCGGATTTTTCACCCGGCGGTACTTTATATAAAAACACTTTTCTAGAAACGGTGTATTTTTTTTAAATCATTTAAGAAAACCATAAGGAAATAACGAAATATCGGTTTTGTTTTCGTTATTTCGTTGTTAGCTGTTTGGCTATGAAGACCAAAAAACAACGACTACTACTCTAATCTTAGCAGTTTACCAAAATCGCTCGGAATCGTTTTTTTTTTTTTTTTTTGTTTAGTGCAATGATTTTGTCGTTTCTTTCAGAATACGAAATGAAATTTCTCTATATCCATAGAAGATCCCAACTTCCCGTCTACATCAGTGGCACACCTACGCCTATCACGCGAACGCTTCCTTTTTAAAGTTTTTTTTTTGTTTTTTTTTTACGATAATAGTTGGTCGGCTATTTTTTTCAATTACAAAACGATAATTATTTGTTATTGATATTTAAATATTAGAGTTTCCTTGTTTATTATTTGGTTAATTTACAAACACAATAAGTTATTAAGTTATACTGTATTATTTTATTATATGGGTACATGTATAACGCAAAAAGTAAAAAATAAAAACAGAATATTAGTAGAGTTTCGATAATTTTTTTTTACCAATTAAAATACAACACATCATATTTTAACAACTATATTTGTTATTAAATATCTATACTTATATTATTATATACATTAGTACTCTGCAGGTACAACTATTGTACTAAAATATCAATGACGGTACTATTATTTTGCAGTGGTGTTTTCGTAATTTTTTCTACGAGTAAATTAGTTATAAAATATTTTAAATGCGCTAAAGGAAAAAACACATACATTATTCGATCGTTTCGCTCGCAATTTTACATCATCGTCGTATTTCGGTATATTATTATTATATCGAATTACAACTCTTAAAAAAAAAACAAAAAAACAAACAAAAGGATACACTACTACAGTTTTGCAATAACATTTCAAACGGAGAACAAAAATGATAAAACGACCGGACAGGGACCGAAAGTCTCTTATTATAGCTGGGGCTGGGGCTCTTTGTAAATACGCTCGTGCACGCATCGCGACGGGGTTTGAAAGTTCGAAACTGACGATTCCGTACAGACACGACTGCAGTGGAGATTGTCATTTATCGTATCACTATGATGTGTTTAGTGTTTACCGGTTGTGCGCACTTAGACAGCTAGCTCGCGGAATCGAAAACGGATGGTGGCACGTGCGCGCGTTCGTTCGACAGCAGCAGCCGAAGAGAGTGACGGACGGAGGCGACAATAATAATTCCGTCGTCCACTTGAAATTGCACGTGCGCGTCGTTCGAAAACTATCGCCGTCGCAGTCGACTGCCGGATTCCAAAGTCGGTGCGATATCCATAACAATACGCTATAATATGTGCTCGTATAACAATACGGCGAGTGACATTGTATATGTGCTTTGAACATTCGCAAAAAAAAAAAAATAAATACAATCGATTCGGCTAGGTAGACACACCGGTTTATGTAGATGACCGCTTAGTCGGGACAGTTCGTCAATTACGAAAACAAATCGATGTATATCGTTGTAATGTGAACGTTCACCGTTTGTCTGGGCAACGAATCCGGATAATCAGGACATTTTTTTATCGAGTTTATCAACAGATCAATAGTCAAAAATATCGAAAATATACGTATTATGTATGTATTTTTATAAATAATTAGAGTATATTGTCATGTTTTTCTTTTCGTATAAATAAACAATTTCCCATGTATGTATACATTAATGTGTAGTTTAAGTTTCCGAGTGGAAAAAGAAGTGAAAATGGTTTTACAAAGATGTTTATTTTATTTTTTTGCGGACAATTTTCCAACCAGAAATTTCGCTGCAATTTATAAGTGTAGCACAATTTCTGAAAGGAAGTCAGACTGGGGAGGTACTTTAAGGAGGTAATTTTTTAAATTTCCCAAGCGTTTTCCAGCAAATGTAAAACACCGAGAAAAAACATGGGAAAAACGGGATAAAACCGGTATAATATTAAACAAATATTATTAAAGAAAATATATAATGTCTATTTAATTATTTTACCATAATATGGTATATATAATTGTTGACAAAGCACCACTAACAGCTGAACTCCACTCAGAATCGTTTTTTCGTTAGCAATGGCTTACCGTTGCTTACAGGTATACACATTAAATTACCTTCTGTATCCTACCCTCCCAACTTCTCACCAAAACATAGTGGTGGCGACCATCGCCATCGTCTTAGGGCAGCTTTTTTCATAACAGAAATATAAAAATCACTTTTTCATCAAATTCGTATGTTCTTTTTTTTTTAATTTCGGATTATCGGGACAACCGATTTATTTGAGACGAACCAACACGCAACCGATAAAGCGCAGTCGACTGCATCACTGTTGTAGGAAAACTCGAGTGCGCGGAGATTGTTTTTAAAACGTTTATCGCGGTTTAAATCAATTGAAAATCATAATAAAAATACGAGTAATTTATGTTCGCGCAGAGCTGCAACAGAGAGGTTAATCACGAATACAATACGCATAGTATTTCTCAACGCGCGTAATATATTTGCTGGGGCTTTTTTTTTTCCTCGTATTATTATTATAAGATTAGTGTTTAAGACGCGCGTTAGCTTAAACGTTTAACCTTATTCGTTTTTTTTCCGCTCTCGCGAATCACCGATGTTCGCACAAACACGACGACGACGGCGAATCATGTATTGAAATGCGCGCGTATCGAGTGCGCGTTTTGAATACAAATTTCGTTCTGTCTTTGAATAACAAACCGATTGAAACACACATACATGCACAAATACACACACACACACACACACATGCGAACACGACTCGACTATATACTGCGACAACTCGTCAAAGGACTTAATTTAATACCTATCCGACAACACAGCTATGTGTGCTGTGTCGGCGGGTATTATTTTATCGTATGAATAATTTCGATTTGGAGGCGACGCGCGACGGCGACGATCGTCACGATATTTCGGTTTTTCTGTTTGTTTTTCTCTTTCTCTCTATCTATCTCTGTGTCTGTCTGTCTGTTTATTTGTGTAGATTTTAATTAATTCAGCCCGGGCGTACTATAATAATACCGTATTATATTTCATCAAACGACGATGGAATTTCGTCCGTATATACCTATTGTACGGGAACCCATACACCGGGTATTACGTTTTTTTTTTTTTAAATACGGTAATACATGCGCCGTTTCATGTATAATAATAATAGTATATATGCTACAATCAAATTTCATGTGGATTCGACGGGTATCCGCGAATTCGCGTGACGGGGGCACGTCGTATGGGTACGCGGAGATAATAATATCGTACATCTGTACCACGCGATACTCGCGAGTACTATGTGAGCGTGGTGTAATCCCGATTTAATTAAAACGAATACACGCCGACGAATGCGATGTAATCCCACTAACCGCCGTCGCTTTCAATAGCGGATACGGACTCGTAAAACACGGTAAAATCGTGTATAACGCGTCTATCTGTATGCGGCCGGGCGAGTTCGAATCGCGGACGTTTTTTCGACCGACGTTCGATAATATTATTATAAAAGATGCGTAATTAGGGCCGTTCTTAATTTGTCAGTTTCGAAATTTCACCCGGGACACCGCCCTATGCCGTGCCGCATAGTAGAGAAATTATATCCTCCCAAAGGCCGGCGCTATTTGAATAATATTCGACGGCGGCACGCCGCGTTTGAATATTTAATAATACGAAAAATGCATTTAATCGAATAGTGTACAATCGACCGCAGTTCGTTTGGATTCAATAATTTCTTTCCAATAAAACACCGAGAACTTGTTTTGATCCCAAGGTCCTAATGACATTTTCGTTCCGCGGACGCACGGGGGACTAATACACACGCGCACGCTCGGGAAAGATTTCGACGGGGGGGGTTCAGCGGTACTCGTACGGACACCGTATAAATAATATCATCGTGTGTGTATATACGTACACGATTGTGTATCGGCCCGCCGTAAACCGACATAATATCGTGCGCATAGAGGTACACTAGCGCGTGCACTAGCAATATACGTGTGCGGGTATACGTATACGGGGTCGTTCGTGTGTTATTATAATAGAACAACGCAAATTCGGACGAAAACCCCGTCTGCAGCGGTCGGCGGCGTTAAAACGCATCCATCTCCGTGCCGGACTTGCCGGCGGCGCAGAGCCGCAGCCGCAACGGTTCGTTTACAATCGTCTGCAGCCCGCCACGTACAAATTGTTACGTACGGGGCGATTCACTAAGCGATTCGCTCATGCCACTACTTTTTTTTAATTTTTTTTTTTTTTTTTTTTTTTCTGTTAAATTTCGCACCCGTTCAGAATGTTTGATTGTCCGAAATTTTAAGTGCAGTTCAGGGGCGCGACAGTACCGACCGATTTAGTTTTTCGAATGCGAACCTGTACTAAAAATTCCGTAAATAGACCGAGTATTACTCTGAATACATTTCGGCGTTGACATTATTGATTTCCGTCAACCCGTTGACGGGATATTTCAATCTGAAGTTTGAGTATAGTTCTCAGTGAACAAAACGCCGCGCGCCGTGTCGCCACACAAATAACGCTCTACTACAAACCTCCTACTACCTTAATTTAAAAGTGAAACAATATCTCGTTAACGGGTTGGTGAAAATTAAAAATGTTGACACCAGAATTTATTTCAAGTAATACTCTGTCTGTTTACCGAACTTTTAATATAGGTTCTCATTTTAAACACCAAAGTTGGTATCGCCACAGGACATTCATTAAATGTCGTGAAAAATCCAAGTACTCAAAAATATCGGCTCTAACTACATTTAAAAAATCCGAAAATCCGAATTTGAATACATGCAAAATTTAACCAAAAAAAATGGGATGAGCACAATTAGTGAATCACCTGTATAGCCCTGAGGTGGCCAAATCTTTGTCGGTAGAGATCTAAGAATGTATTTTTCCTTTGAGGACCGACTTCCTAACAAAAATATATAACTATAAATTGCCGAATAGACAATAATTAATTAGAGGACGCCACGCCGACATGTCCCCGTCTTACAAACGCGATACATGGCGTATTTGCGTTCAATAGGACACATTTTAATATTAAAGCAAATTGTTCTATTACCCAAATTAAATGTTAAAAGAATATATCATGTGTTCTAGCGTTGATGATTTTTCGATATTTTTATTTGTAAGCAAGACATGAGTATGTTAATGATCACAATTTAAAAATGATTATATCTTACCTAAAAATTAAAATATCGAAAATACATCAACGCTAAGACATGTGCAATTGTCTTACTTTTAAGTACCTGGAAATAAGTTAATTTGCTTCAATATTGAAAATAACGGCACAAAATGTGTTCTACTGAACGCAAATACGCCATGTATCGCGTTTGTAGCACGGAGACAGCTAGTAGATGTCGGTGTGTCGCCCTCCTAACAATAAACATACAACTAACAAAACTAAGATACATTATAGTTAAATAATATTTTTCCACACACATATTATTAAGACCGATATAATATTATTGTAAATGTACAATATCATCAGTATAAAAAATTGTATTACCCGATAAATTGATAACAAAATAATGATAATAATATATTAAGATAAAAATTATCAGAAATTGTAATTTATCTACTAATTATATAAAATAAATTTTGACAAAACGGAGGTCGAGATATTTTAAACCATCCGCGATTTACCGGTCGATCGCGATCGACCGTTTGGCCATCCCTGTTATATACGCATACCGGGGTCTTACAGTATAAGACGTATACAGAGTATACATGTGTATACAGATTACAAATACGTTTGAAAAGTAGTTATTATTTTTTGTTTTTTTTTTTTTTTTATTACGAAAACCGATATTTTTTTAAAAAAAAAAAAAAAAAAAATGCATTCCGAATACATAGATGTATTATTTGAGTAGGAACGCACATAGTACGTTTGGAAAGGTATTTGCATGAAATATTTTTATTTTTTACTGTGTAGATGCGTAGATACGCTTATATTCTAGGTTTGTTTGTTTGTCCGTGGAATACTGCTGCGTTTAATACTTGCAGTTCAATTCGAAATGTTAAATTCGTAGAAACTATCGACACGGCGGTGTAATGCGATGACGCACTCCGACATTTAAAATACGGGAAATAATAAATATTGTAAAAACGATAACCGTATTTAAAATATTCGTTTTCTAACACAATACAACCTTTTAAACATAATATTTAAAACACGATACCAAGTGATTTTTGTAGACGTTTTTCAATTCGAATACTTTTCTTTAAATACTTTACAAGTCCGCTATAATTATATACAGAATTACCCGATACAGAATACGAATGTCTGATTTAGCATTAACTGCGAACGATAAAAATGCGTA